ACTGAGGAATCTACACATTATTGAACACTTGATCCCAGCCATGCCTATTAAAATTTACTGTTAGCTTGAAAACTAGTTCCTAGGTCCCATCTACTTTCTACCAGGAGAATATGAGAACATAAAAGGAATGTCATGAGAGAAGTGCAAGAAAAATTCAACTACGCTATGGGTTTTTGTTGGATTCCTAATGGACACAGTAAAGATTTACCTATAGGGACAAGAAAATAAATGAATTACGAAAATTCTGGTATGATTTCTAAAAGATACTTGTCTTCTGTTAATTTGTTTTATTTACCAAGTAAGAATTTGTTCCTTTAAAATATTAAATATTCAGCTAAAATGCTAAGTAAATAGTAATGTATTTGCAGTTTTAATTACTTCACAAATTTTAATTTTAAAAGTATGCATTGTGTACATCAATTTTCATGAAGTGATAATTGGCAAGTATTCAACTGAATTGATTTAAAGATTTGTTTCTTGTTTGGCAAATAAACACCATTATTTTAGCTTTGCTGACAAATTGAAGACCGAATTCATGAAGACTAAAATGATCTCCTGACACTCTGAATGTGTACACTGTGTGGCACAAGCTTCACAATGATGAAAGATGAAGTTCTCAGTCTCAGGAAATTATTTTCATGATTTCTCTCAATATAATCTCTTCCAGTGTCCTTTATTTAATGCTTCTTTTGAAAGTAAGCAAAGCCAAACAAAAATTTTTTTAAGAAATATAACTCCATATTATATAATTTTTATCTCTAGCATAGTCAAATATTTTAACCACAAAACTCTACCAGAATTGCCTGAGGCAACAAACAGTAATTCATATTTCTTAAACATACCATCAATATATTTTTAGTATTAGCCCAGAAATCTATACCAACCAAATGTTAGTAAAGTACATTGAAAAAATCATCATAGTTGATTCTAAAGTTCTAGCTGATGAATAAGATGTAACTTAACTTGAGATTTCCAGAGGAGATGTATGAATAGAGCCCAGGGTTTGTGCTAAATCAATACTATATCTTTAAAGCATTTCCAGTTATTCCTATAAAATCAATGCTCACAGTATCCACCTTTTACTCCATACCCACTAGCCAGAAATCAAACCAAGAATGCTTTCTGTATGTGTTTCCAGATAGTGGGTTTAAAATTCCACTAGTCCTATGAGCTTTCCTGTCAGTATCACTAATGATAAATATTAATCCTCTTTTCATAGACTAGAAAATTATGACACAAAGACAGTGATGGATTCTTCACAGGTCAAAATTAAAGTTGTTAAAATGAACTTGGGTCACAGTGACCTAGGTTTGACTAATTGATACAGAACATCATATCAATTTTAAGTAATAAATATTTTAGACCACATTCTGCCTCTCTTGACATTTTATAGCATGAAAAGATGTAAAGAAAATTATAACAGAATTATCAGGAACATTATTTTCTCTACACTAAGAATTCTTAAGAATAAGATGTGTGCCTCCCCTAGAGAAATTAGGAGGGAATTTCCCCATGAATGAATAAATGCTAAAGGCAATTTCTTATAATAACTCACAGACGGGCACTTATATTTCCAAAACACTGTCAAAAAAGTAGGTATCATTCATTCCTTTCATAAATATGTAAGTTCATCTGCATGTGAAGGTTTGCACCTTAGTAGGCTGGTAAAGTATCCCCATTTCAGGTAATTATATATAAAGGGCTGGAGATGTTGCTCAATGGTCAAGCATCCCTGGGTCCAATTCCCGGTTCAAGAAATAAAGAAGAAAAGGAAGGAGAAGGAGATTAGGAATATATATATAATTTCACTAACTTGAGTGGCTTGAGATTCCTAATAGATGGAGATTCCGAATCTCCTTCCTTTTCTTCTTTATTTCTTATACCGGCAATTGGACACAGGGATGCTTAACCACTGAGCAACATCTCCAGCCCTTTTTATTTTTATTTTGAGATAGGGTTTGCTAAGTGGCTAAGGTTGGTTTTGAACCTGCAATCCTCCTGCTTCAGCTTGCAGAATTGCTAGTATTATAGGGGGTGCCCCCACACAGGGACAGATTCCTGATCATTTGACTTTCAAGCAATACTTGTTTGGTACATCATGATTCATAACAGTTTTTTACTGCAGCAAGTTGTTTCTCTCATGTATAGCTCAATCTGTTAAGCTAAACAGTGAGAAAACAGCAAATAAGTGGTGTTTCTTCATTTGAGTCCTATTCTATGAATCATTGTAGATGTTTCTGAGTAGTGAGATCACTATAGAGGTCATTTCTTGTGAACAATATAATTTTCTTCAGTTGTGATTTTTTCTGTACCTGATAGGATGGAATAAATGAATAAGAAGTTGCCTGGAATTTGCAGCTTTAAACAATGGGAAAGGTGAATTACCAAAGGAATTTCTTCAGTCTATGTAATAATTTTGAACCTGGTTCAAACTGAAGTAAATAACTCTGAAGACAATCTATAGGCATTAAAATCTAAGATGATTAAGGGTGATTAATAATTACATTAGAATATTCAGCTAATATCTAGATGATATACATAAAATGTTGATGGAGAAGTGTTTTATAATATACTATAATTTAAAGATTCCAGCTAGGATTCCCTTTCCCCTCTCCATATTCCATTTCTTGTTGAAGGAATAATGGTAACTCAACTGAGTCTTGAGCTCATTTTAATTATCCTCTGCTCCTGTACATATTTCACATTTCCAATCACATAATCCTATTTCCTTTTACATTTTAGGGTTTCAAATAAAAGCAACACTCAACAACACTTAGCCTTACCCATCAAAACTTTGTTTTGGGGGTGAGGCAGAATGTGACTTTGAATTATTAATTATTGTCTCTGGTCCTCCTAAAGACCTCTTGCATCCTCTTTCAGCAATAAGACAAAATACCCATGCAGGCAAGGGAGTTGATTTAATGAATTGGGTGCATTTGTTCCCAAATAAAGTGCTGATTTCACTTTAGACACAAGATAAATCAAAGTGAAGACTGGTTTCCACTTCCCCTCACTCCTTTATTTGTTTATTTATTTTTTGCAATTAGAGATGAGAATTTAGATGTGCATTAAGTTATTTTACAAAACTCTGTCTCGTAACAGCATTTTCCAAGAGATAAGGAGTGACAAGCTTCTATACACTTTCATGAGGTAGGGAGAGTGAATTATTTATTTATTTCAGTGAACAAATCTCCAAAGGGAATAGGAAAAGGTAACTTTTACTTTGCACAGTTTCAGCTACACGTAGAGAAAGTCTGCCCCCTCAACAACTAAGAAGGGAACTGCGTCCATATACCCATAGGCATGTATTCTGGAACACATTCCCTGATTTCATTTTATGCTCCACTGACCAGGGGAGTCCAACTCTGATAATTAATTGACAACCAAAATAATAGTCTAACCACATGCTGTAACTCTTCTAAAAACGTGATTAAGTCTTCCATGTGGTAATTTCACTTCCATCCCGTGGATTGAAAAAAAAAATTGGATTGTGTTAGGAGCACATTGTAGAAATCTAAATCAATGATACATCTTTCTGCTCCTCAGATAATCATTTCTGACCTATCTAGGGCAAAAGAGCCCCCAAGGAACTCAGTGACATAAATGCCTCTGTTCCCTTTCTGCTAAGCAAGCAGGTTCATGGTAAGTGGTAAGTGACAGTCAAGAATGATTTTTCCTCAGAGTGTAATTGTTACTCTAAGCCAATGCAAAACAAGGGACCATCAGTCCACCCACAAATATCATCGTAACTGTCTTAGAGAATATTTATGTTGAAACTGAGAGAGTAAGTCTATGAATGCATTAGAGAAGTAGTTTATTATCAGTCTTATAAGGCCTATAAAATTAAGAGAAGAACCATGAGAACTCCTGTAGTTTTTTCAAAGGGGCAAACTCTTTCTAAACACTTGGATATGCATATACTGTTACATGTATTTACATGATTGTAAAAAGTCCATTCTTGTAAGTCAGCTCTGGGCACTGAACTGAACATGCTCATTGGAATTAATCGAGTTCTTTCTGAAATGTCAGGCATGGGCTATAAATTTGTATAACTGCTTTTACCCAGTGAGCCCTTTTTATTAAAGCAGAATGCTTATCAAGGTCACTGTGAAAGATTGTCACTTTAAAGCACCAAAGGAAGATTCTAGAAATAAGAATCAAGAGAAAAAAGGATTTAATTAGCATTCTAAAGTTTATGGTCTGTTAAGAACCTATTGACCTCTCTCACTTTCTGGATTTCAGTAACCAATGTATTTTATAGAGCTAAGAAGTCAGAATTCTGTCAAAACCCAGCACTTCTAAAGAGACACAATAAAGCTTCTCATTTTCTGCTTTCTATTAGGTCTGGTTTTAAGATTTAAAAGACTGGAGAGGATGCTGAGCAAATACATGCATGTTTCCTTAGGTAAAATTCTACAGGTGTAGGTGTGCTTGTGGGTTTGGATACATAGAGGAAGGAGATGCCTCTATACATATTTTTCTGCTTGTAAATGGCTTGTCAAATTGTGACCATAAAAGTATATTAGAAAGGGTATTTAAACCATCTCTACTTCAACTTTTTTTGAGTCTTGCACACTATGTGACACAGGCAGAATCACTTTTGATGCCATGCATAGGACCAGAAACATTCTCTTGCAAGATAGCAGTTTACATTAGTATTGAAGAAAAAAATGAGCAAGATATACTTAAATCCAAGCAGATATTAGATAAGCAATAAGAAAAGTGTCCAACTAAAAGCTTACTTTAAAAATGTTAGCCAACTACATAATATTTTTACTACTGTCACAGGAGGTACTTCAAAGACAAAAAACATCTGACAGTTTTATTAAGCAAGAGATTTTCTAACGTCATGAACTAGAAATAACAACTTTCTATGGAACAGAATTATTTATCTTTACCTTAATTCACAAGAAAAAAATACTGTTCATGTTCTTTCTGTAAAACCTTGGGAAAAGTCATTATAGTAGTAAAAAGCCATAAATAATAGTATTACCACTTACCTGCCAAGTAGCGGAAATAGATGTGTCTTCAGTTTCTCTAACGTAAGGTTTTGAGTAGATCTCCAGCCTCCTCTCACAGAGCTATTTCCAAAAGAGTTACGATCCACTCAGGAGCATCCTGCTTATTTCATGAACTATGGGCCTTTGAGTATTTCAGCCCCTACTGCAGTGCCCATGATTTCTCAGTGCTTCTAAGAACTTGAACTTCACTCTTCAGCCTGCATTCCTCCTACCTCCCCTATAGAAAAATTATTCTTGAAGTTGTGGCTGAGAGTTTAACTGTGGAGCCAGAGTACTCCTCAGAGCCCTCTCCCTACGTGTAGCAGTAGAGTAGGGAGGGTTATTTTTCGTCCATCAAGGAAAGGGACAGGGAGGCAGGGGGGATTATTAGGAGGCACCGCCTTTTAGCTGCGAGGAGCAGGGTGCTCAGCTGCCCGTGGCGACGACAGTGGCGGCAAGGACAGCGGAGGCGGTGGCAGCAGCAGCAGCTCAGTTTGGTCCTTGTAGCTGCAGCCCAGTCCGGAGACGCTGTCCATCCCCTCCGGTGCTGAAGTAAGAGACTGGAACCCCCAGCCTGACCCCAGATCGCACTTTCCTCCACCAGCGAACCCAAGCTGCTTCCTTGTCTTCCAGCCTCGCCTTTTTTTCCTCCTCTGGCGCTTTATTTTTTGGTAGGGGAGTAATTGTTTCTCCAAAATAACATCTTCATACTTATTGGATGGCAGCGTTTCTGGAAAGGCAGGAATCCATGAGAAATAAGATCTGAGCCTTTCCTGACTTTTCAGTGGCCCTGAACGAGTTTCCTAATGGTAGAAATGAAAGAGAACGCACGAACACGCGCGCGCGCACACACACACACGCGCACGAGAGAGAGAGAGAGAGAGAGAGAGAGAGAGAGAGAGAGAGAGAGAGAGAGAGAAATGGGGGGGGATTGTGGTGCACTGTGGAAAATCCAGAGCTTCTTTGAAAGCTCGTGGGTCTTTAATTACATAAGATGAAAAAGGGCTATTTTGGAAGACTCTGAAATCTTGCTTACCAATTGGGGAGGTGGGGGGGCATTTAAAATTTTGGGAAGCCTATTTGAAATTCCTAGGTTATGCACAGTAAAGATTCTGAGATCCTACATAGAGAAACGAACGACAGGTTATTGTTAGAAAATAAAAAGACACAGGACGAAAGAATGAAAAAGAAACGCTTCTCGGCTTTGCTACCTTTTTAAAAACGCTGCCAAATTGGTTCAGAATCGCGGTAGAGCAGCTAAGAAGATCCTGCGGACAAAGGTTCCTGTGAGTGTCAGCGCTGGGCTTGGTGAGCGAGCGGGAGCCTCCGGAGGCTGCATTCCCAGGGCAGCGCTAGCAGCCGCCCACAGCCCAAGCTCCTGCAGGGGGGCGGAAGCGGCTTATTGCACAAAGGATGGGATAAGAGGAATGCATAAAGTCAGCGGGAGCACTAGAGCATCCCTGCCTTTTTAAAACCAGGGGGAAAAAAAAAAAAAAACCGCCCAACACACCGGGCCCTTTTTGCCTAGGTTTTCAGCTCGTTCCCTTTCTTTTCCTCGCGCTCGGCCTTTTTGCCTCTCCACTCCGGAGTCTGAGCCCTGTTCAGTCCCCACAGGCTCTTGTCTCCTGCTCAGCACAGACCCCCACTTCTGCCGTTTCCCCTCGTTCCTGGCAACCAGTTGACACTGAGCCTAGAGGCAGGTTTGAGTGGGTTGTCCTGAAGGCGAAGGCGATCTCTCAGGGTTCTGCCATCCGTACTTGGCAAAGGGTGCCTACACGAGTGGAGTGAGATGGGAGACTGAAAGACACCACGTGGAAACTGTCGAAAAACTGTTCAAAATCACGTCCACGCGGACCCTCAAAACTATGTACTGCTAAAGGGGGAAGACTAGCCAGGAAGGGAAGTCCAGCCCACTTCTTCAGACACGGAACTTGTGCCGGGCAGGTTCCTGCACCAGGAAGTTGTTAATAGACTTAAGGGGAAACTGGTAGAGACTGGCTAGGGGCAAGAAAGTGGGTGGATAGGGGAGGCGACACTGATCTTTCTTGGGCAGTAGGATGAGGCTAATGTCTGCTTCTGGCCTCCTTTCCCAAGCACTTTCTGAGGTTCTTCTTCCTCCGATCGTGACAGTTGGAAGAGAGTCTTAGACAAGGTGCTCTCTTTCCATGTTTCCATCAAGGATTAGAGAGTGCGGGGGCTGGTCTGGAATTGTCCATTCTGGGTGGGATGATCTCCGCCTCCTGGAGGCAGTGCCCTCTCCAAGGTGCCTGCGGAGAAAGAGAGCTGAGAAGAAACAGCGCAAGTCCGCAGCAGCCAGGGGAGTTCAAGGTGGTTCTTTTGGGGGAGAAACGTTAAGTTGGAATTCATTCAAGAAGGTAAACCAAACGGGCAGCTAATGTACTCCCAGGAAGAATCCACGTTTCCGGCGGACTTTGATCTAGTTCCTGCAGCAGCGATGTCTTTATTTCCCTTGGGTCATCGCTGCTCACTCCCAGGCTCTGGCTGGAAGAGGCCATAGTCAGTGTTGGACTCATTTCAGGCCGCAGACGCTGTGTGGAGCTGCAGACGCAGGAAATGCTCACAGGGAAAGGAAGCCCCTGATTAACTTTCTCCAACAGTCCTTTTGAACAGGGGCACTATCAAAAGATGTGAGTGTGTCTCTAAAATCACATCTAGGGAAGACTTATAATCTCACCGAGATACACAGACCAAAAATAGGCTCTTTGCTACTGGAGGCTGATGTTTGAAGGGAATTGTGTTGTTTTCCACTTCCTGCGAAAAGAAATTGCCCAAGATCATAGTAAATAAAGTTTCCCTTTTCCTTCCACAAAATTCAGACAAACATGTGTTTCTTGCATCTGCATGAACACGTATGTGTCATCTGCACAAATAAGTTTCAGAAAGTACCCAGATTTTGTTGGAGAAGGAAAACAAGCCTGCTTGAGAGTTAAACTCCTTCTGGTACCATTATTCCCTGTCAGCAAAGAGTTTTTGCTCTAATGTATTGAATTCGATGGTTATTTCAGTTTGATTTAATTGACTTTAAATTATTTTCCCTGGACATGTAGGTACAGGAATAATCACAGAAAATAACCCACCAAATAAAAGGGATTCATTTAAATGTGGCACAGAGTACAAAGATGTTGCTAATTAAAAACATATGCACTTGATTATTCAGACCTAGAGGAACAGATTTTTCCATCTTTCTGAGCACTGATTGACACTAATGCATCTTCCCTCTCCCTCCCTCCCCATCCTCTCCCCTCCCCCCTTCCCTCTCTCCTGCCAGGAAAAGAAAAAAAAGAGAAAGGGTTGATTAATTTGAGCTGTCAGAACTAACAGATTATGTTAGTTTGATGTCTTTTCTTGAAGAAGCAAATCCACTCCATATTTTTCCTCATCAAGTTGTGTAACCAGTTATGGAAATTAAGGTGATGAACATCAAATGCAGTCTAACATCTGATGCTACAAATGCATATAAATGAAGTATAACAAAACAAAAGGGGACAGAAAAACTGAGATGAATTGAAGAAATAGTTTAAGAATTTTTACCTTTGGATCAGATTTGTAAAAATTTATTTAAAATGTGATTTTATTCTTAAGTTACTATGATTTAAAGATGTAAGCATAGTAAAAGATGAATGAGAATCATCAAAACAATGTATGAATTATATTCACAAGAAACTGTAATAACCTGTGAGTCCAAACCAGGTCTTTCAGTCCCTCTAGGTTTATAAAACTATAATAGAATCATCACTCAGCCACCCTCCATAGTGTAAAAATCTTAGAAAACATTAGGTTTGGGCACATTTTGAAACAATTTGAAGTACTTTGAGGGAAGGAGTTCTCAGTGCAAAGCAAAACCCCAATATTGACTGTGAAACTTCCATAAGCCTCCAAACCAGTTGAAGTCATCTTTTTACTATATATAAAATAGTGCTAATATAATTTCTAACCTCACTGAATTGTCATATGTGAGAAAAAATATATGAAAAACTTAATATATCTTGTATGTTTCTATAAAAATTGAAATTATCATCTATAAAATAGTAGCCTCTGTGCTTATTACTACACCATAGTTATAAAACTGGATATGTAATTTAGGGGTTTCATTATTGATTAGCATTTTCCTAATTATTTCTGTGTTTCATTTCATGTTTCATATTTTAAAATGGGGTTATATGATTCTATAATCCATATCTGAGTCATTTTCAATTCATGATCTCAATGTCTTCAGAGTAGTTTTAAGCTGAATTTCCCCTTGTGATCAAATACAACCAAATATTGCTTGTCTGTTACTACTTATTTCTGAATTGGAATATTTGGAAATATTGGGTAAATATCCTTATGTTGGTTTTCTAAGAAGTTACGGAGTTTACATGTTCTTTTGTCCTTTTTTTGTAAGTAGGAAGACTTAATCCCATACCTTTGTTCAGCTAAGGTGTTCAAACTTGCTAAATCATCACCAGGTAATTCTGGAAGACTTCATGTGTGTTTGTGTTTGTGTTAACTGAGCTCAGTTGACTAGTTACAGGGAAAGGTAGACAGAAACTGATAACTCCATTGTCTTAACTGAGGTACAAAAATCCATCAATTAGATTTGTTTTTCTTTTTAGGGTGGACGGTGAACAGTGGCAGTCAGAAAAATTGAGGAAATTGCTTATGTTTAACTACAAATGCCTACTGGGAATATTTCATTTTAGACAAAGATTCCCTGAATACTTTCATTTTAAATTATTTTCTCTATTGAGAAAAAGTTTAGGAGTGGCATACTTGAAAAAAATGGTATTTTCTGCTTCTTGGATAAATTTCTTAAACTTTTAGTCTTTTTCTTCATTAAATAAAAAAAAAGGCAACCTATAACTTCCAGTTAATTTCATCACCTGGATCCAGGCCTCATACAAAGAATGTTCCACATAGGATAAGAGAATCCTATGGCATCCCTCCAATCCTCTCTAATAGAAGCAGTGTCTCAGAGATTGCCTTGTGTTCACTAACACTGTTCAGGAAATACTGGCTTATTCAAAAAACAACAGTGTGAAAAAATGAGTTTCTGTATAAAATGTGTAGAAATTCCACATACAAGCAAATATTATTGATTTGTGATTTTTTTCATTATTTTTCCTCTCCTTCTATAATGTGGACTGTACAAAAGCAATTACCTTGTGTAACTTGTGTGTCTCCTGCACTGAAACAATGCCCCAGAATATAGTAGATTCTTAGAAAATTGTTGGTAATCGAACAATTACGTGTGAACTTCTGTGATACTGGCTGAGAGTAACAGACTGAACGAAATATTGTCTTTGCGCTTCAAAACCAGGAAATATTTGTTATTTATAGGCATAAGAGCCTTCATAGCATGGTTTCTTCCTGTAATAATGGCTGTTTAAAAATATACTCATCCATTTTGGAACAATCAAAGGTGTATTTTCAATGTGGCAATAAAAGATTTATTTTTAGAGAGATTCACCTGATATGCCTTCATAATTATAATCCTTTAGTATAATTAACTAGATGGATATTCATGTGCAAAATTGTTAAAATTATTCAGTCTGGCAAAAAAAAAGGAGTGGCATAGACAGATTTTTTTTTTTTTTTTTTTACTATAAATGCCTTCATAAAAACTGGTCCCTATTTCTTGCACTTTTTTCCCCATTCTGGAGAAAGGATAATATATTTTGGTCTCTTACCCATGAATTTTCTTCATAAAATAAATGTGATGGTTATAGAAAATGTAAAGAAGGGAAGAAAAGAATCTGTACCGGTAACATCACAATTTTATTATACTTTCTTCTGAATTTTTCCAAGGTACCACATGTACCCATTTGTTATCACAGTACACTTATTTTTATTGGTTCTTTTTAGTTACACATAACAGTAGAATCCATTTTGGTATAATTATACAAGGATGGAATATGTTTTACTAAATCTTCTAAGGTTAATTCTATATGTAAGATTTTTCTGTTTTTTAAAATTTCTTTTAAACTGAAAATATAAAGGTGGAGTGTAATTCAGAATTAGAGTGTTTTCCTAGAATGCACAAAATCCTGGGCACAATCTCCAGTACTGGAAAAAAGAAAAAAAAAATGTAAAGGTGACAGACGTAACATACTTTGTTCTATAGTTACTTTATGATGTTTATATTATTTTCAATTTCTGCTATTATGTGAATAGCTTCATGGGTAAACCTT